CTGGTGAATTGTGTGGCAACAAGCGCTGGCTGGATTGAATGGATTTATCAGCAGGTTTTTCATTTTTTTTTTTGTTTCATTCGACGTGTATTTTTTTGGGAACTAGTAGACTTGGTAAAGTGGCAGACATCATTACTCTAAATCTAAAATTCGAGATTTCCGCTCTGTCAGCGGGAAAACAAATCGTTTTGCGATTCGTTGTTTTCATGACAGATCAGTGCAGATGCATGACAAAAGCCAACAGCTTTCTTGTAACATTCGAAAAAATGAACAGTAATGGCAGTCTTTACAGATGCTAGTTTGTGTTACTTGTGTGGCAGCATCTGAACTATCTTCGAATGTCTCTGTCCCTTTTCTGGAAGAGTTAGGGTTTGATTGGAAAAATTCTGTGAACATCGATGGTAAAAAATCAATCATATATGCTTTGCTGATAACATTTTCTTCACTACCAAAAATACCACTGAGATTAACGAATTACTGCCAGAAATCCGAGCACGAAAAAAAAAGAAGTGGGTTTAGAAAAGGACATACTGCAGTAAAGTGACCCACTCTTGCAAGAATTGGACCAAATTTGGTGGTTTTTAGGAGTTTCTGCAAGCTTTTTTTAGTAACCCCACATCGGAATTTTATCACCTTCGAATTTCGAGCTCTTTGGATTCTGTCGGTCGGAGTAAATGGATTTTTTTTTTGCACGCTAGTGGAACTGAAACAGCTGATCAGAATATTCAGGTATATGTCTGCAGTGTTTTTCATTGCAAAAATACACCTGGATACAGGCATATCGGTATTTAGCTAGAATGTTGGATGCTTGCCACATGATTGGAATGCATACCCAGCACTTTCGCTGCTTGCAAACAACAGGTCCCAAAAGATACGAATTCAAGAACTTTTTTCACAAAGATGCGAATTCCATGCGCAAATGGTCCTTCTCACTTAAGAATTATTTTCAGATCAATATGAGATCTTTGCGAACTCGTGGAATGACCAGTTTTACTGTGGATTATTTGCTTTGGCATCACTTCGGAAATCATGTGGCGCTCAACCCACTGGATATGGTTCGTCGATATCGCGCATATTTCCAGCGTATACCGAACCCGAAAAATCTTGCGGCCTTCATCGAAACATATTTGAAGTATGGCACAAAATTATTAAGATACTGGGAGGACGTCCGAGTAAACAGCATGGTCTTACCGAATTTATTCCTACGCTAGACGCAGTTGTGCTAAACCTGTTACTTTTGGAATGCAGGCCTTTAATTCGTACTCATTGGCCGCTCGATGTGTGCATATGTTTGTACCGCAGCCTCAGAGTCCTCTCGAGTGCTGTTTACTCCCGCCGTGGTACCAATCAGTAGCTCATCAAACGCATCGGTTGCCCCAAAAATGAACAACTTTTCCTACTCATGAAATTTTATTTCTACGCAAGGCCGTAACGAGATCTCGCATTTCGCTCATCTAATGGAGGGTTTGATTGTTTATATAGTCGCGAATGCACTGTGTTCCAATCGCCTTTACTTCATCGCTATCTCCATCAGAATTGGCTATTGTGCTTTCCACATTTCGCACCGCTCGCGATTGCTTTCGGAGATTTGCTAGTGTTATTTCTTGCTATTAATAAGCCCCGTTTCGCTAACATTACCCATGTCTAGTAAAATCGTTTTACCATCCATCCAAGTTAAGAATTGCTCGACGCTTCGTCGTATTTCGCATACAACGGAAATG